TGATCTTGAAATAACAAGCTTTCTGCCTCATTTTCATGATTCCTGGGGGCTATCAGTGTGCGCCATCTTATATGACTCAGATTTATTGATGACGATACATACTCTGAAATTTCCTTGGACTTAATAAAGTATACATTATACTATAGGCTGAATTGTGTTTGCTTTCCCACAGATGTATTTTTGGCATGGGGAGTTCAAAGAGGCCTCTCCATGGCCCACAGTTTACATACGAAGACAAATACAGTAATCTCTGGGACCCAGCATTTTAGTCCTTGTTGGTTGTATCAATAGGGTTAGATGGAACTCATGTGCTCAAAAATGGGTACAGATGGGAAACAAACCACACTATATTGGGAAGAATTGGATTAATCAACACACTTTGTGTGCTTGCATCTGTGTACATGTGTTATATGTCATGTTCATGAGCAGAAAGGTGTATGTGCATATTTATGAATGTGTATGTGGAGGTCAGAAGTCAGCCCTAGGTGCCTTTCTCATTGGCTCTCTACCTTATTGTCTTAATAATTAGGGTTCCTATTGCTGTGATGAAACACTATGACCAAAAGCAAGTTGAGGAGGAAAGAACATTTTGGCTTAGACTTCCATGTTGCTGGAACCAAACAGGGCCGGAGCCTGAAGGGAGGAGCTGATACAGAGGCCATGGAGGGATGCTGCTTGCTAGCTTTCTCTTCATGGTTTGCTCAGCCAGTTTTCATATAGAAAACATGATTTAACCACAGTAGGGAAAATGTCTGCATAAGAAGGGTTCCACTTGAAAGAGGAACACTCCTCCATTGATGGTGGGACTGCAAGCTGGTAAAATCAGCTGGAAATCAGTCTGGTGGTGTAGCTGGTTACCATCCCACTACATTTGTATAAAGCTCAGCAATTGGGCAGGATGAGAGGTAGGTGGAGTGAGGAGAAGAAGAGGAGAAGGAAGAGGATGGATTGAAGGGAGAGGGGAAATGGCGGCGGAGGTACACGTGTCTCCAGCAGTCTAAGGTAGTTGTACCATCTAGGTTAGGTATGGGGTAACACCTCTAATTGTGTGGGCTTCTTGTTATTTGAGCATTACCAAATATATAAAACTATTGGATAATCTTAAAAAAAAAAGAAGGGTGCCACTTTACTAAGTGTCATGGACTGTGTGTAGCAGGTCACCGAGGGAGATGGCCTGGGGAGAGACACTGACACACTGGAAGCTATCATTGCTTATCAGAAAGCCACTGGATTCAGGAACAGTTGAGGGATTTCTTAAATAGGATATTTTTATAAAACTACTAGAAGAGAAAATACCAAAACTACTTTGTTCTTTTAGTGAGTTGAAAGAGAAAGGAAGAGAAAAGAAAAGAATACATGAGCAATGGTAGAAAATATGAGGGATTCCGACTTTAAAGTAACTAAGATTGGTGGTGCTTGGCCTGAAATCCTAGCAGTCAGCGTATCCCACAGCAGCCAGTGGAGAGCAGAAACAGGGATTGGTGTGAAACCCTGGCATGATGGCACTTTTCTGTAATCAAATCATAACACAAAGGACACTAAGGCAGAAGGACCAGAAAGCCCAGTCAGGGCTTCATAGCAAGTTACAGGCCAGCCTGAACTGCAGAGTGAAACTAACTCCATTGGGAGAAAATATGAAATTGGTATAAATTGCTTTTGATAGTTTTTATATTCTGGAACTGTTAATTATACTTGATAACAATATCCTAAGTGAATAATTTAAAGATGTTCTATGCAGTGTTACTTGTAAAGTAGAGAAGCTAGTAGAACTCAGAGCCATTCAGACATGTCTTCTGTGCAAATGGAGAAAGCCTGAAAGCAAAGACAACACAAAACACATCATGCCTAATCCTGTGGGGCAGAACGAAGTTAAAGATAAGTAAAAGACAGTCTGTGAAGAAAAAAAATGAAGTCAGTCAAGATTAAAAGCCCTGCTTTTCTCTTCTCCACAGAATACATTCATGGTTCCTTTATCCTGCCATAATGTGCCACAGAGGCCCTGGAATACTACGAGATAGCAGGCAAGAATATGAACAATGAACTGAAGTTTTTTCTCAGCTCTTCTAAAATTGGTCTTCAGAAAAGTGAAAAGGAAGGTTTGATTGCTACATCTGAGCATCTCTCTAGAATTCAAACAGAGATTTGCTTTCCCTCTGAATGATCTGAAGTGTGGGAAAAAAATCACAGCTCAAAGGAGACTCTTGTTCTTTTCTTTAAAATAATATTATAATGAGGTTCATGGTAGTTTGAAGCGTACAGGTTAAGCATTAATCCTAAACAGGCCACATGATTAGAAACTTAAACTTCACTGAAATTTAACTGATACCCCTTGTTGAGCATAACGTTAGATCAAGAATCATTATCGTTTGCTTTGGAGACTTTGGTGTGGTTGCTATGACAACAAAACTTTAGGGCACTGTAGTCTACATCGAATCACAAAATGACAGATGGCCCATTATGGAACTGTACATATTTGGAGATGAAAAGAAAATACATCAATCTGAAGTTCATTCATTCATTGTGCTGATGTGGAAGAGCAGAGCTATGATAACGGAGTCGGATAAGAACCAGCCAACAGAAAGGGAAGGTTAAAATAAAGCTTTATTCATCACGAACGTATGTTAACTGCCTTGAAGGCTGCTGACAGATCACTGTCCCTTCCCAGTCATGCACAGAATTCTACATTAGCTGATTTTGTTGAGCACCACCGAGGGATGCTTCCTCCATTACAATTAGTTAGAACCCAGAGTGAGGCAGGTTGAAGACTAGAGAGGAGAAACACAATTGAGTCTAGGTGGGAAAAGTTTGCTTCCTTACCTTTCCTAAGATTTGGGGGGTTCAGACAGGCTGTTGGGAGAGGAATAGGATGGTGTGCTCAGAGATAGTATTAGAATTAGAAATAAAAGTGATTCAAAAACTAAGACATGATGAGCTAAGGTCTGAGCAGTGATGGTCCTTAAAATTACCACTGTGGATACCATGATATCTAGCTTAGGTTAGTGAGTGCACATTTTAAATTCCAAAATATTAATTATTCAGACAGTGAAGGGATAGTTTATAGGGACTCTGATCATTTTTAAGATACCTGAGTACGGGTAGCTCTCTACTTATCATCTGTCTCTTTTCTCTGTTTTTGTCTCCTATCCCAGACCTGCACAATACTTCTATTTATTTATAAACTGCTAAACCCTTGACAGTGGGTGAATTGTACATCATACAATAGGCTGTATGTTAATGGACATATTATCCTGTTTTTAAGTATCAGGAGGAAGGCGATTGTGACGGTTTGTATATGCTTGGCCCAGGGAGTGGCACTATTAGGAGGTGTGGTCTTGTTGGAGTAGGTGTGTCACTGTGGGTATGGGCTTAAGACCTCACCCTAGTTTCCTGGAAGTGAGTCTTCCACTAGCAGCCTTCAGATGAAGATGTAGAACTCTCAGCTCTGCCTGTATCGTGCCTGCCTAGATGCTGCCATGCTCCCACCTTGATGGTAATGAACTGACCCTCTAGAACTGTAAGCCAGCCCCAAATATATGTTGTCCATTATAAGACTTGCCTTGGTCATGGTGGCTGTTCACTGCAGTAAAATGCTAACTAAGACAGTTATACAGACAAAAGTCTTTGTAGCCTCAAGGAAAAAGCCAAAAAGAAACTTGTAAGCTGAGGTTTGAAAATGGTTGACATGTTAGCCTTTGTCAAAATAATTTGCTTATGTTGAAGGTAGTAGACACTTTTCCTTAGAAGTCATCATGCCTGTTTGGCCTTATAGTGGTTGTGTTATCAGGAAGCTTAATTAGCAGATGAGAACTTTGTATAAATGAATGGCTGTGAGGGCTTACCCATGAGGCCCTTGTTAGGAATCAGTGTTTTGCCATCTCTGAGTTGAGCACATAATGTTCTCCAACTTCTGAATAGGAAATGCCCTTATTCTTTAGACCTGAAAAGAAAATTGTGTACTAGAGTCAGCAAATCAGTCACAAAATTAAACCCTACAACTGAGAATAGGTGAATACTAAAGACCAAACTGGTGTGATCACATTTATTCTAATACATGGCATAATTTTAGTCTTGAACTCTACTGATAGAGAGCCAGTACATTAACCTCTATGGCACTGCTGCTTTCCCAAAGATTCCTACTTAACTAATGGAAGCATAAAGTTTGTCAGAATGAGGAAAGGAGGATATTCTTCCTTTCTTGAGGTTCTGAAGTAAAGCTAACATGCTTAACTGAGGAATACTCACATTTTAACAGCATAGCGTAGATTAAGAAGTTGCTGGTTAGAATTTCTGTTACATGACTTGAAATACTATTTAAAAAAAACCTTAGCCATGGGAAGCTATTTGTATATACTTGTATGTGGTATGGATAACAGATGCAGATTCAGACATACACAAAAATATACACATACATACATACACAGAAACACACATACACACAAAATACACACACACATACACACACTATTCATTTTTCAAATGCTGGTGTGTTGTAAAATTCTGTTTTCTTTTCATTCCTGGATGTTGTAAATAAACTGAATCTGTACAGTAGGCTTTTGTCAAACTCCCAGAATGACAATTTTATTTTATAGCACATCCTAGAGTGACAGCCAGAAAATGTTCTGCACCACCTCAGTACAAACAAAATTAGCTTTTCACAATATTTTTGCAGATGTTAAAGGTCATTAATAGAATGAAACCAGATGACTAAAGCAACACATTCAGAATGATTGGCCTTCATTTTTCTTCCTGGCTTAAAGACACAGAGACTTCTTTCTCTCCTACTTGGCTACACTTCACATTTTTTTTCTAGTTTCTTAATGGCTTTCAAAATCATAAAAGTAAAAGTGGCAGGGTATGTATTTCTTGGCACATGCCTTCTTTCGTGTTTGACAGAGGTAGAATTTTATTAGACAAAAATAGTGTTAACTGTTTTTTCTTAAACCCTCTCTGTTAACAATTGCTGGAACTTTCTGTTTTCACAGAGTTAAGCTTTTGTTATGAATTACATGGGATCTTCATTTCACATGCAAAGACCACAAGACGCAATAAACTGGATGAGATGCTACTGAATTTCTGTCTCAGAAAAGAAGTGGGTGAGCACAGTCTCACAGTTCAAAAATGTATTCTTGTTCAGGCTGCTGGCATGCTAGATGTCCATCTTCTTTCCTGTCTCATTTATGGTATTTGGACTATAGGTAAAGAAGCTACAGTTAATATAAATTGATGTATCTATGCCAGCCATAGCTATAGATCAATTTGGGATTAGTATGCCTTCTAAAACGATCCTTTACTATTCAGTAGGGAAATATTTGGAAACTAATGTTCATCATGTGGGGAACAGAATAATAAAAGAAAATGCAACTCACTCCATTTCTTAGACAAAATGAAAGAACAGTGTAAATATGGTTTTCATTTTTCAGATCTTACAGTTTGAATTTGAAATATCTCCCAAAGGTCCATGTGTTAAAAGCTTAGTCTTCAGGCTCACCTGATTAGGAGCTGGTAGAACTTTATTTTTTTTTAGAAGGCTGGGCCTAGTGAGATGGTAGGTTATTGAGGATACGTCCTTAAGAGGGGTATTAGGAGACTCTCTCCTCACCATATTCTTCTTGTTAGCCACCATGAGATGAGCAGCAATAGGGCCTGGACAGCAGTCTTTGAAACAATGAATCACAATGAAACTTGGCCTTACTTAACTTGTATATAGTGTATATTCTCAGGGATGGGAAGCTGATTAGTACATCAGAGTTCCTTGTGGGCAAGTAGTGCAGAAGTACATGCTGAAGGAGTACTGTCCTTCCCCTCAGGTAAGGTTATTTTTTCTATACAACAAGCTATTCAATAAGGCTGACTCATCTGCAGAAGGTGAATGGTCAGTGTATGGATACAGTTGTGAGTAGGGTTACTGTGATATGGAGAAGATGAAAGTGTTAGATGCATAAGAATGAGGAAATAAGCATCCTTTTGTCTTGAGTAGCCAGATACCACAAGGCTAGCTTTGGAATCCTGAAAGAGCAAACTCTATAGCAACCATTAAAAATACTCATTGACCCAGATGCCCTTCGACAGAAGAATGGATGTAGAAAATGTGGTACATTTATACAATGGAGTACTACTCAGCTATTAAGAACAATCAGTTCACAAAATTCCTAGGCAAATGGATGGAGTTGGAAAATATCATCTTGAGTGAGATGACCCAATCTCAAAAGAACATACTTGGTATGCACTCACTGATAAGTGGATATTAGACCAAAAGCTCACAATGTCTAAGAATCTACATATAGACCACATAAAACTCACATAGAAGAAGGAAGACCAAAGTATGAATGCGTTGGTCCTTTCTAGAAGGAGTATCAAAAGTTTCAACCAGAACTCCCAAAGTCTAAACCAGAGAGCACAAAGGGAGGGACTCACGAACCTGTATAGGGAATTGAGGGTGACCTTGTTAGACTTCAGTGAAAGTGGAGGGCCAAGGTCCCCGAAAGTTTGGATCCCCTACTGTGTGGGAATTTGAGAGCAGGGAGATGGGAGTGGGAGGATGTTTGGAGCGAGCACACCATCACAAAAATTAGGAGGAGTGGGTATGGGATAAGGGATCTTGAGGGAGGATGAGAATGGAGATAACATTGAAAGGTAAATACGTATAATATCCAATAAAAAACCCACACAGATAAAGGATTTTTTTTAAAAAGGGAGTTTACTTATCTTAAATTAATTTCAAAAGTTTCTAGGAGTTGCAAATTGGCTAAGATCCTATTTTAAGCTCTCCACAAAAGAACTTAAATCTCTGTTCAATATTCTCAAGAGAGAGGTAAACCCTAACTCCCTCAACAGTTAATTGACAGAAGAGAGGTAATCTCACAAAAAGTAGAAAAAGCTATTTCCAATCGATATATCATATAGTCTGATTAATTGTCAGTGGTGCTATAAAAGTCCTTTGACAAAAGATTATTAATATAGATTTATATATCCTTAAATAAGGTCTTCATGACTCTCTGAGTGTAGAAGGAGCAACTGTTGGCGCTTCTGCCCTGATTTTATAAGAACTCTGAAAAATTGGCTTTAAAAACAAAAGAGGGGGAACGGTACCCCATCAGAAGGAGCCCCCCTGAAATACTCTCCATCATGCCTTGTTCACTTTTCTCTCTCTAAAGCTGAAAGCTCATGGCAAATCTCTTGCTGACCATATTGGTGACCTCGGGCACCACCAAGACCAACAAAACTTTACCACAGATATGGGGAAGGACCCTCATACCTGTAAAGGGAATGCCCCAGACCCAGTTCCCTTATGGAGCCGAGGACTGATATGCCTGTCCAATACCACAGAAGGCACAGCTAACCGGCTACCACAAATATTAATGAAAAAAATAGATACTCTCACAAAGCCAGGCCCAACCATAAATACGATGAATAACAATTTACATCCAGGGAAGAGAAATCTCCCTGAGAATCCCCTTCTTTTTTCTTTCCAGG